CAACTTTTTAAAACTTACATTTCTTTAGAAATGTCTAAAATCAAATGCCTTCAGTTAACATTACTTGGAATGTCAAACTCAAAACAAATCAACAAGGGTGACCTGCGAATATGCTTTTGCAGAGCACATGTACTATTCCTGAGATAATAACTCAGTGACAGCCTCCTGCCATCCTCAGTTAGGCCATGGTGAGAAATGAAAACAGGGGCGGGGCTGCTAAGAGAGCCTCAACACAGTGGGATTTATCACTTGTTAAGCGGTGTGAGAGTCAAGGGAAGAATCTGATATGACTAATGAGTTCCAGTACCACGCCCAGGCAGGGTTCCAGGCACTAGTAAATGAGGCCAAATGTCATGGTCCCTGACCTCTCTGCAGATTCTCAGTCCACGGAATTGGCACTGGAACTTCGGAGTACGCTGGGGACATCTATGTGGACACGGCCCAGTGTGGCCGCCCCAGGCCTGATGCTATCATGACCTTACATGGCGTGATCAGTGGAGGGGTCCCTAGGAAGTGAATGAGAGAATTGCATTTGAGCGTTGGGCTCAGGGGAGAGCACAAGGCCTTGGGCTCTCAGCACCTCACCCCGGAAACCTGCCCACATTCACCTCCCTTCTTTATCCTTTGCTAGGGCATCCTCCAAGCGGTGTTCATTGGCCACGACTGGGGTGGCATGGTGGTGTGGAGCATGGCTCTCTTCTACCCTGAGAGAGTAAGGTAATTAGGCCATGAGCAATGAGCATTTGGGTAAGACTGGGGCTGAATTCCCATTAGAATCCTTCCTTGAGTCTCAAACTCCAGAAAATGTCTGGAAAACAAATAGGTTATCTGGGAAGGTAGCACCTTAGCTCCTTCGTGCCCATTGACACATTAACAAGGAGGGCTTAATGAGCTAATGTCTTAGAAAGTGAGGCCTGTCCCAGCTACTGGTGGTGGGACAGATAATTCAGGGACAGTGCTCAGTGAGCATGCGGGAGAAGGATGGTAGACCCTGAGAGGAGCGGGAAGGCAGCAGGGGTATTGGGCTTATAGAATTAAGCATCAGGAGAGACGTCAGTCCTGGACAGGGAGTCAGAAAATGTGGCTTCCAGTTTTGCCCTGAATTGGCTGTGTGACAAATCACTTCGTTAGGCCTTGTGTCCTCAACCACAAAGCGGCAACCTGACTACCCAACCTGCAACGTGCTGCACAGATGTCAGGTTAGAAAGGCATTTCATGATTGTCGTCACATCATTCCTGATTGTCCTTAGAATGGCATTTCAGAGCTGTAGCAGGAGCTTTCAGATGGTGGGTTTCGAACCCAGAGAGGCGGGTGGTTTTTTGCAGCCACACTCCTTTTGAGCTGGCAACCAAAATGAAAACTTGTCTGACCTCCCATTTCAGCCTGCGATCTTAGCAGGTTCAATAAGCATTATCCTCACCGGCCATCTGGTTTCCCTAACGAATCTAGTTCCTTTTTATTTGGCTAAGTTTATAAGAATGGAGAGACAGGAGAACTAGGTTCAGCTCAACCCCAGCTCAAATGGTAGCGTGGGATCAAAGACTAAGAAAAAGCAAACATTTTCTAAAATATTTATAATTTGTTCACACTCTTGCTTTTCTGATCTCTTTAGCTTCTCTCTCTGTCCTCTTCCTCATTCAAAGGCAAAATAAGAGCTCAGTTCTTAACAATTGGATTCACCAAAAAGTTCCTCTACCTACTGGGTTAGATGCCAAGTTCAGATTCGCACCAGGTCTTCCATGACACCCAGATCCAGAAATGTTTTATCCTCCTGAGCGCCCACGACATTCTTTGCCATTCTCACGCTTATCTCACAGTCTATTGCATAATAAAGCCATGGGTGTATTTGTCTAGTTTTCCTTATTAAGTTATAATAAGCTCCTTGAATACTGATTTTATATTTTTTTTCTCCCCTAGTATATAGCATGGAATTACACTCAACACAGGAGAGACACAGTGAGTGAAGGAAGGAAGGAAAAAAATGCTAAAAATTAGGGAGAAATTGTAGTGTTCACATATTCTGGTCAAGGTTGATAGACTAGATGTAGTTGTGTGTGTGCTCTGCCTGTCTTCATCTAAGGCAAGTGAGAAATACTGCAGTTTAACGGGGGTGAGGTGGGGTCGGGTGGGGAGGGGAAACCCAAGAAATCTGAGTGCAGAGCCCATTCTCCCGCACACTGACGGTGTGAGAGCTTGTGCACATCACTTTCCCACTTTGAGCTTTGGCTTGATGTGTAAGGGCCTTATAGACTATCGTCTGACAGGGTCTAAGTCTTGGTGCCTTTTCTTTCCATAGGGCAGTGGCAAGTTTGAATACTCCCTTCATGCCAGCAAACCCCAATGTGCCGCTGATGGAGATACTCAAAGCCAATCCTGTTTTTAATTACCAGCTCTATTTCCAAGAACCGGTAAGTTTGGGGCCCTGAGATCAATGACCCCAGCAAGGTATTGTTCTTCTTTCCCCTTTCTCTCCCCTCCCCATTGCTTGATGTATCTCTGTCCCCTTTAATTTTCTGTGGCTTTAGTCAGAAATTATTGTACAAATGGGCTCAGATGAAACTGACTCCAGAGCTCAGCTGGTCCTTTCCAGGTGATGGCGTGTGTGTGTGTGTGTGTGTGTGTGTGTGTGTGTATTTGGGTTGGTGAGGGGGACAGTGGTGGGGCTGACAGCACACCAGGTTCTCCGGCTTCTTCAAAACTGTGGAGTGGGAGCTGAGCACTAGTTTGGAGCTGTTCCTTCTTAGTCCTCTGCCTGAGATTAGAGTAGAACCCACCTCATGTTGGTGACAGCTCCTGCCCTTGGCTTCTTGAGGAGTAAGGTTTGTGATCACAGGGAGCAGCAGAGCCTAAAAGCCCTACACTGGCCCTTTGTGTGCTTTGGGAGATGTGGAGGGGTTGCTAGGTGTCACCCCAAGTGCCACAACACCCAGGATGCCCCTTGGAGCTTGGGTGATATGTGTGATGGGGTGTCACCGCCACATTTCATGGGGATTCACTGAGAGCAGCACCGTGAGCCAGCATCACCTGCCTCCCTAACCCCGCAGCTGACCTCAGCTGTGGGGGCACCTGCTAGTCATTCATTTGTGGATTCTGGACCCCAATGTCCAGCTACATCCAGGTAATTCCAGAAAGGATAAAAGAATTTTCCTTCACACTGTAAAGAGAGAAGAGTGGATCAAATTCATTAATCAAGAGCACAGACCGTTTCCCCACATCTCTCACCCAGCTCTTGACCTTCCAATACTTGAAGGCCATACTATTTATAGCAAAGGTCACAACCAACCCAGTTTTATTGTGTGTGTTTTTATAATATACTAGGGCCCCGGTGCATGGATTTGTGCATGGGGGTGAGGGTGCGGGGGCCCCAGCCTGGCCTGTGCCCTCTCGAAATCCGGAACCCCTCAGGGGATGTAGCAGTGCACCAAGCAGCAGGTGGCCAGGGAGGAGCCGAGCCAGGGCCAGGCCCTGTGCTCATCCAGGCCTGCTGTACCTGGCGCCACCACTTGGTAGCGCTGCTGCCGAGCCAGGAGAGGCTCTCACCGCTGCTGCTGCTCTTGCCAGCTGTGAGCCCACCTTCTGGTTGAGTGGTGCTCCCACTGTGGGAGCGCACTGACCATCAGGGGGCAGCTCCTGCATTGAGTGTCTGCCCCATGGTGGTCAGTGTGTGTCATAGAGACTGGTCAACGGATCGTTCAGTCATAACGGTCACTTATACACACACGCACATGCACACACACACACACACACACACACACATATATTGATTTCTGAGAGGACAGGAGAGATAGAGTTAGAAATGTCAGTGATGAGAGCGAATCATTGATTGACTGCCTCCTGCACACCCCACTCTGGGAATCGAGCCTGCAACCTGGGCATGTGCCCTGATCCAGAATCAAACTGTGACCTCCTGGTTCAAAGGTTGATGCTCAACCACTGAACCATGCTGGCCAGGCAATAACCATCCCAGTTTTGATTCAGTGAGCAACTTTTCTCTAAGAGACGGTGCCTCGAAAGAAGAAGTTTTTATTCGAGCACTAACCTGACCCATTCAGCAAGATGCCAGATGCGGCCAGCAATATCATGAAAAGACACTCGAATATCACATCCTCCACTGAAGCCAGAGCCCTCCCGAGCCACAGCCCAGGGTGTGGGAAGAGCCAGCTTCCTTACGTTTGAATGGAGTCAAAATGACCTTAATTAGTTTGAAGTCGTCTTGCTCTTGAAGGATGGGTATGATTAGATGGTATAGTAGTCAATTAGGGCTGCCATAGCAACGTACTGTGGACTGGGTGGCTTAGACAATAAACAACATTTATTATCACTCAGTTCTGGAGGCCAGAAGTCCAAGATCATGGTGTCTACAGGGTTGGTTTCTTCTGAAGCCCCCTCCTTTGTAGATGGCCCCCTTCTCCATGTGTCCTCACATGGTGTATCCTCTGTGTGGGTGTCTCTATGTCCACATTTCCTCTTCTTATAAGGACACCTGTCTCAGACCTTATCTCCCAATACATTCTGAGCTACTAGGGGTCAGGACTTCATAGGAACTTCAGGGAGACACAGTTCAGCCCATAACAGGTGGGTAAAGGGAAGAAGAGAGTGTCTCTTGTGAAAGAAATAGGAGGATAACAACAGGAGGGGGACAGTGTGGGGAATGGTGGGGACTGGGAGAAACGGGCATATTTGGAATGCGATCTATGAGTGGACTGGAAGGAGGTAGGTACCTTGTGCAAAGCCAGGAAAGGAGCCCCAGGTTGTAGTCGATGTGAGCGGTAGTGGAGGTTCATCACCCCATCACAGGTGGCCCGTGAAAATCCTTTCAGCTGGACTAGAAATCGGAGGCCAGTCTAAGGTGTGATGTTCTGCTTGTCGCCCTTTCCCGGGTGTTTGCCTCACCTGGTACAGCTCACACCGGGGAGGCATCTGGTGAGGGGGCGGGAGGGGATCTTGGTTCTTGAGTGGCAGCTCCTTAGCCTCTGGGAATTGAGGAGGGGACAGAGTCCCACACTAAATTAGGAAGCTGGGTTTGGGTCCCTCTCGCCTCTTATTTGACCCATTTTTAATCTCTGGCTCTGCTTGGCTCCCACCACAAGAGTCCAACCCCTTCCCCATGCCCTCTGTGTGCCCAGAACTCCCCTCCCAGAGCAACCCACCCCACAGGTCTCTTCATCACCTCGAATGCCCCGTGCACCTTTGTCACTTCTCACCCTTGTATCTTCTGCCCTAGGTTGGCCCCAAGGCCTGTGTATAGTACAACAGGCCCTCAACATTCTGGCCCCACCAGTGGGGTTCCCCATGTGGAGAATCCAGAGGGAGGGAGAGGGTGTGGGGTTTCATGTCCACTTTTTTCTCTTCTACCTCTTTTTTTTTTCTCTCTTTTTCATCCTTTGGACTGAATATTTGTAAGGAGATGCCTAGCTGCTGTGAAACAAAGGTGCCCTGTAATGTGTGTGAGGGATTGAGCATTACAAATATGTTCAAAGGTCAGAAATGCCTTAACTGGTATTACTTGTGAAGAATTAATATTCATTATTTCATCTAGCGAATATTTATGCATCTTCTATGTGCCCTCAAAGGGCTTCAGGGTTCCCCAAGGTTTCTTCTGACTACACTTTGAGAAATACTGCTTTATACTGGTAAAAAGCTGTATTTATGTAATTACAGGAGATAGAAAAAAGGAAGTAGTAGTTTCACTGTGTATTGTGTTTTGATCAAACTTCATTTAGAGTATTATTGATCAGTGGGATTTAGCTCATTAAAGTTATCTTTATTATTTTTTAAGTTATAAAATACACATAACATCAAATTTACCATTTTAACCATTTTAAGTGTACAGTTCAGTGGCATTAAGCGCATTCACATTGTTATGCAACCGTCACCTCCATCCTCTCCAGAACTCTCTTCATCTTGCAGAACTGAAACTCTGTCCCCGTTAAACATTAGCTCCCCACTCACTCCTCCCCACAGACCCTGGCAGCCCCATTCTGCTTCCTGCCTCTGTGAATTTTACTCCTCTAAGTGGACTCATACAATGTTTGTCCTTTTGTGTCTGCCTTATTTCACTTAGCATTATGTCCTCAGGGTTCATTCACACTGTAGCACGAGTCATAATTTCCTTTCTCCTTAAGACAATGATAGCCTACTGTATGTGACATTTGTTTCTTCATTCATCCATCATGGACAATGGGGCTGCAGCTACAGCTTTTTTGAGTGCTGGATGCAGTTAGTTGTGTTCACAGCAGCCCTGTGGCATCTCTCCGGCCTTTCAGCTGAGCAAGCAGAGACTGACGGGCTTACTAACTGGCTGATACTAGGTACATGACTGGGTCAGGATGTTGACCTGGTCTTGCTTGACTTCAGAGCCCACGTGCCTCCCCTTATGCCACGCTGGGAGGGAGCTTGGACTTGATTGTGGGTTGTGTGTCCCAGAAGAGAGGGGAGGAGCAAACCAGGATGAGCTCAAAGTCCTCATTGAAAAAGTGACCTCAGGGGAAAGACACTAAATCATTGCAGTCCTAGCGGGAGAGTGTGTGGTTTCGAAGGTTGATACAGTCATTGTGAAAAAAATCAGTACCTCTATTGTTCTGTTACAGCAGCTGGGTTTAAAATCTGCAGGAAGAGTGTGGGGATGGTTTTGTTCTTAAGAACGAAACCTCTTGTCAGGGAAATGGTGGATATTCAAATCAGTGACCTGGCCACTGCCAGGAGCCCAGGAATCCTGCTGGCATGGTCAGGGTAAGCACAGAGCGGGGTCTTAAGGAGAAACCATGCACCTGGTTCTGCCCGCATGTCTGCTACCTACTCAGTGATGGAGCAAGTCCCTTCCTATCTCTGGCCCTCGGTTTCCTCATCGGAAAAAGGATGGTGTCATTGGATGGTTTTCAAACAGGTTATAGCTGCAAATGTAAGCTGAATCCAGGCCAATAAGTTAAATACGGCAGGTACAACTCTCTGCTTCAGGGATGGCTGTTGGTAGCCAGCCTTCCTTCCTATGTCTCCTCCCAGCTGGGGTCCCACCGCTCGTCAGCCTGGAGGAATCATCCCTGAGGGCTCAAGGTCATTCCAGACTCTTTCCGCCTAAGGAAGGCTCCACTGTGCTGGTGCCCCCAGCACCCGTGCCCCCCCCTCCCCCTTGCTTCAGTTTGCTGAGCACTGCGGGTGTGGCTTAGGCAAACTCCAGGTTTAGATCCAGCCCCACCCCCAGCTCTTTGAACCCTTAGCCCACATGTTTACTATCTTGCCCTGAGAATTTGCCAAGTCTGGTGGGAACTAATACTAAAGGTGTGTTTTTCTTTGCTTGGCAAAGAAGGGAGTAGGCTTTGCATTTGTATTAGTAAGAAAAGGAGGACGGGCAAGGAGGCAGCAAAGACAAAAAATGAGCTTAAAAAAAAAGTACTGAGTTGTGTAAAATAAAAAATCAAATGCCCCTTCACTCACCTAGAACTAGCTACTGTGAATAGTTTGGTGTTTCCCATTTTAAAAAATACGCTTTTAAGTAAGTATGTGTGTGTGTTTGCACATGAGTGTATACATAATTTTTAGTATAAATTGAATCATTCTGCTTTTTTTTATCCAATAGATCTTAGACAGATTTTCCTATCAGTACCTATAGATTTACCTCATTCCTTTCAGATGGACCATGATTCATTTCACCCGTCCTCAACGAGGAGCCTGAGCTACTTCCTCACAGTCTTTATCCTGGTTTTGTTTTGTGCCATTCACAGAAGACACTCGCGGCATTTCATTTTTGTTTTCTTCAATGGGTGGTGTTATGTTATAGTGAAAAGAACCAAATACTGAGGGGCTTAGAGTCTGGAGTTCTCGCTCCCAGCCTGGCCATTTATAATCCGCCTTCGACAAGGTCACACCTCAACCTGAGGGTCTTCCTCCTCGAGATGGCCTTCCCACCTCAGTGCCGTGTGACCAGCAAGTGTGGCATCAGAGTGACTCAGGGCGCCAGGGCCCCTCTGAGGCCTCTCCTTTGCCTGGCCAGGCTGCAGGGAATAATGAATAGTTTTTTCTTCTTGCCCAGGCATCAGGTGCCTCTATCCACTGGCATCCTCAACCCCAGAGACAACCACCCCAGCCCTGTTTTCTGGCGTGCTTTGAGAGAACTCGGCCCCGAGTTTCACAGAAACTCCAGTTATTATCAAGGTAGACGGAACATGAAGCAGAGCTGCTGCCCCGGCCCACTGATCAGAGGGAGGCTTCCATCTCCCCGGGAGACAGTGTCTGTGGTCTTGGCTGCTGAGGCACAAAGACTGCCCACGCTCATGCTTTGTGGGAACTCCCTGGATTTTCTGTTGACCCTCTTGGCATCTGTTCACTCTCAAAGGACCATTTGAGGGCCCAAGCCCCGCCCGGACCTCTGGCCTGTGACGATGCCTCCACACACTGACATACACTCCTGGGCTCCTGAACAGCAGCGGTTTCTGGGCTGGGGCTGCTCTCAATAAATAAGAGTGATGACTCCTGGCGACAGGGCTGACCGGGGCTTTCATCGATCACTTCAAATGTACTTCCTCCCGTGGCTGTTTGTTCTGGCACT